ACTATCACACCACTGCAACGCCAGCAGCCTGGATGAATCCTTGCTTGTCCTTTATGCCGAATGACCCTACCATGCGAATGTTGCAGCAGAAATTGAGGCAGATCAAATGAGGCAACATTTTCTAGTCTTCCGTTGTCCAGTGTTGGTGAGGCTGTGAACTCTAGCTTCAGTTTCCTGACTTAGCTGACAGGAGTGGCACCTGGTGTGGTCTTCTGCCGCTGTAGTTCATCTGTTTCAGGATTCAATTTGTGGTGCATTCAGGGATGCTCTTCTGCATATACTGGTTGTAATGAGTGGTCATTTGAGCTAATGTTGCTTTGCTATCAGCTCAAAGCAGTCTGACTATTCTCCTCTGACCTGTAGGATCATTTTATCCAGAGACCTGGTGCTCACTGGACATTTTCGTGTTTTCAGGCTGTTCTTTGTAAACACTAGAGATTGTTGTGTGGGAAGATCAGCAGTTTCTGAAATACTCAAACCAGCCCGCCTGGAATCAACAACCACGCCAATTTCAAAGCGACTTAAATCAACTTTCTTCCCCATTCTGATGCTCGGTTTGAACTTCAGCAGGTGATTCATTGGATAATTTTCTGAACAAACAGCTGAACAGCTGTAAAAAGTGGCCAGTGAGTGTTTAGAGTTTTACGAAAGTCTGCTAATCCCTATTTCTTAATCCGAGAACATCAATAAGTCAAAATGAAGTGGTTTTATTTCAGGATATCGATCCTGTGATAAAACTAAACTGTTTGGACATCTCTGCATGTCTTCTGTGTACACCCGCACTGCATAATGGATGTGCATATGATTTACTTCTCTAATAACTAAAACACTGCGTCTGTTTGCAGGGGCGTACTCCTCAGTGCAACTCCTGTGGATAATTTTTCAATGAGAGATATTCAAATTCTGTTTGTGCCAAAAGTGTCAGTATCCTCTGTTAGCAGGGGTGTAAACAGGATGTAAAACAACACACTGGAGTTCAGTGACATGGGAGACAGGGGTAGGAGACTGGCTCTTTCAGCTGTTCGACTCAGGGTACACATCAGGAACACAAACATGTGTTTAAGGATTAATTAAAAGGCTTTATTTTCCCTCTCAACGAGTCTTTGTGTTAAAATTTCAAATGAGCATTAAAAAAACGATTTCCTGTTATTTGCCTGAACATGAAAGCGCTCACTGATTAATAAAGGGTGATTCATGAAACAACACAACAGCTTTGTTGCAAATTGGTTTATCATACACTCACGCGCCCATTAGCAAGTGCCCCAAACAGTTACTTGGAGCCAGTTCGAACAAAGGCAAGGAAAATGATCAGTGCCTGAAGTCGGGTCCAAGAACTGAGACTAAGATTAATGACTGAAAACTTGAATAGGCTTTGTTTGGACAAATGAATTCATGGCAGGCTCAGTGAATGCAAGCCCTGTGTGATGTCTGTAGGCTCAGACTGTTAAATATACTCACTGGCAGCCAGGTTTCTCATTATAAATGCTGTCCATGGTTTATCCCAGTTGCTTTAATTCAAGATTAGAAAGCTGTGATTGCTATCCCGACTCATCGTAGCTTAAACTCTGCTTAAACTATCTCAGAAATGTAAACACTGGCTCTCCAGAAGTTGTCTGCTGATAAGCACTTTACTCACAAAGGACCTGTTTTTGCGAAAGAAATCAAACATCTGAGCAACAACTTCCTGCATCAAACGTTTCTCGGCAGAAAGAGATAAACACAAAAGGTCATTCATCTCTCCCGAGCACGCCTGAAGCCACACACCTCTGCTTTGCACTTTGAGCTGAATCACATGGAGTTTGATTGAAATCAGCTTTTAAATATATATTTATTTGCATCTGATTACATTGCAAGCCCTGGGTGCAAAACATAAAATACTTCTTTTCATTTTCTCATGTTGACATCTTAGGTGAAACTTTAATAAAATACATGCTGATCCCCACGAGGTATTAGACCGGCGAACTAAGCGCCGTATCTGTGGCGGTTAAATGAGTCATTATGCGGTTTTAGATACACTTATGTCAGATGCATTAAGGAGTAGAACTGTGAGTAAGAGAGTGCATTTCGTTGGCAGAGGCTGAGGTTAAGCTCTGTGTTAGGCAGACTCTGGATACATTATTCAGTGTCTGTCTTACCACTTAAACCAACTTATCTGAGAATGGGAGTCCACATTTGCACTTTAGCGCAAACTAAGACAGCACACTTCTTTCACTCTGTCACTCATTAGCCGAGGGTTTTTCAAACTGGCTTGCAGCTTTGTTCTTAATTTTGGTGACTGAAATATCGTTAGACTTCTAAAGGAAATTTAGCACATGAATCTGTGCGTTTGAAAAATCGGCAAGACCGAGGCCTAATCATTTCTGAGTGTCTATGTTAGAGCTCAAGCCACAAGTTCCTAAGGGATCCATGTGATTTGAGCGTTTAGGCTCAAATTAGGATTAAAAGTTCAAATCAAACACTGCATCCTCTCACATTGTCTTCCGCTTCTCTTTCGGGTTCACTACAGGGGGTGATCTGCCTCCATCTCACCCTATCCCTGTCAACTGTAACAACAGCTCTCCCTGCAGCATCCATAAACCTCCGCTGTGGTCTTTTCCTGCTGCTGGGCAGCTTTAGCTTCAACATCCTTTGTCCAATATATCCACTATCCCTCCTCTGCACATATCCAAACCACCTCAGCCTTGCCTCTCTCATTTCTAATTCTACAATTTTGGTCACTTGCATCAAAAATCTTAACATCTTCGATTCCAATTCAGCCTCGTGTCTTTTGTCAGTGCCAGTGTCTCCAAACCATACATCATAGCTGGTCTTGCCATCATCTTGTAAACCTCCCTTTTCACTCTTGCCGCTATCCTTCTGTCACAAATCGCCCCTGACAGTCGTCTCCACCCACTCCACCCTGCCCGCACTCTCCTCTTCACCTCTCTCATGAACTGTCAGTTGCTTTGGATGGTTGAACCCAGCCATTTAAAGGCATCCACCTTTACTATCTCTGATCCTTTGCATTTCCACCAACCTCACCTGCATTCTCTTTTTTAAAACGTGAGAAACACGAGGAGACGGTTAGTGAGCAAAAATTCACTTTGACGTTATTCTCTGCGCCCTGCTTTTCCTTCACAACACCAGATCAGGCTCGATGTATTTCGCTCACTTCCTTGCACAGATGTTGCGTTACAGGCGGCATATTACAGTAGTTTATAATTAAAGACCTTGGGAGGCTATTCCCGTGAATACTCTGGAGGTCCACACACATCCTGAGTGAGAGTTCCTGCCCCGAGGAGAGTCAGTCCGTGGGTGCACTATGCAAAAACCAGACGTTCAGAAGTGATGAATTATCAAACCGGCAGGTGGTTGGATCCTCACCGTGGAGAAGATTCATTTCTCCTTTATTTTACATTCAAGTCATGGGTGGTGATCAGTTAATTAGCGACTATCAGCATGCCTGCACCAGTGATGGACGTTTTGTAGCCTGCAGAAACAGACGTCTTAATGGAAGTCGCTTCGCTGCACAGCGAAAGATTTCCAAAGCCACTTGTGTGTGATACATTATGAAGGAGAAGCTTCAAGGCTTAACCCCAAAGTTCTTGTTTAAGAAACATGTTGGTATCATTGTCTCATAAACTATTCAACAGTATAGTGGGGGAGAAAATACCATATTCACTTACGGAAACATGATTTTGGCTCCTGAGGTAGTTCGGTAAATATTTAATGACAGAGCAGAGCTGTGGGTGTGACTTAGTGCCTGCCAGCAGATGTGTGAGCTTTGCTTTAAAACAAACATATGACAAACGCCCGTTTATCATCAGTTACTTTTGGTATGACTTTACTGCACTGCTCTCAGTGATGTGCTTTTTATTTCTTCCGTGCGTTACGTGATCGTTACTTGGTCAGAAATTTCAGCTGGTTTAAATCTTTTTTTATTTCTTACACATCCTTTATATTGCATTTCACAGCAAAAGCCTTGAGTGTACCAAAACTTCTATAATCCATTATTCTGTGGATTCTTGCCAAAGGAAAGACAGAAAGGTGCGTTCAGGTGAGGGAGTAGTGTGGGGAGAAGAGAAATGCTTCCAGTGGAGTCCAAGCTCGTGTCGCATGTCAGATGAGTCACACACAGTGCTAAGTAATTTTAATTTTTTCTGCAAAAAGATACAATACTGTATCTTTTAAATATAGTAATATTCAAAGGTAGTCTTTAAGGATGTGAAAGATCACTGGTAGCACGTATAATGTGTTTACGTGTGGTATTTCTCATCTCTTTATCTTTTTGAAAGATCACAATTCTTTCAAACTTGACGTGAAAAGAAACTCAGAACAGAGGAAGAGGCAAACATTTCTGGCAATGCCTCTAACATGACATGACTTCTGAAGGGCAGTTTCTCTAATGACAAACCGTCTGTGCACACCTGTGGACCCGTAACTCTGAGTGCATTCACAAGTCAGGATTTCACTGAATGCTGTGTTTCAGTGAAAATCTGAGAATGTGACAAGAAAGGTTTTAATGATGCTTACATGTCTACCTCCACCTTTCACTGCATATATCCAAGTGCTGGAGACTGAAACTAAAACATAATTTCAACATTATTAAAAATAAATGGCCTCTTCTACTTAGATTACAGCCAGATATGGCTCCAGAAATGAAGGTCAAGGTTAAATGCTTAGCCAGCCTTTGTACTCTCGTCCTCCAAGGCCTGGTATATTGTTTAGAAGTTTGAAGAGAATCATATAAAGTTTTACTGATTTTCACATTTATTGTGACCTTGACCCAATTTTCACAAAAATGAAATCAGGTCAAACTGTTATTGGCATCTACCGTAACACAAAATTTGAACAACATATCTTGAGAACTGTGAATGCCAGACAGCTAACAAACACACCTTTTTCTTCAGAGGGGGAAACAAAACCACCTCCAAACATCTTGAACTAAAATTATATCCGAATTTCTCGATAGTCACGCTCTGATAAAGACGCAGTTTAACGCAGGCTTTGGAAATGGCAAATACGGTATTTAAAAGCAAACTTTATTCAAATATTTTACATTTTTACCAACATTTTCTTTCAGTTTTATTTCCTAGAATCATAAACTGAAGTAAGTCTTAGGAAAAAAAAATTACAGCCAATTTTCTATTTACATTTTCACAATGCATCAGTTTACAGTTTCAACTAACATTCTGGTGAAGTACAGAACCGCAGGCTGCGCAGTCAGATTCTTGATGGCGTATGCATGTCCTGTAAGAAGAGAACAGTAACTGTAAGAAACAAAAAAAGCATCAAAAATATGTGCCTTTATCACTAAACCATGTTAAAGATCTATTATGTATTTGCAAACGTTTTTATGATGAGATCTTACAGTAAATGTAAATATTCTTACCAGACTCCACCACAAAAGATTTTCCAGGACTGAAGCATGACTCACAGCCATCGATGGTCACACTCACTGAGCTGGTTAGTAAGTTAAAAACCTTTAAAAAGACAGAAATAAATAATGGAAATACTTTAGGACTGTTGTATAAGAGGCCTAGTTACTGCATAATTATATGCAAGAAACAGAATAAAGTAGTACTCACTGTTGTAGCACTGTGGTCCACCCAGAGAGGCTTCTTCATGAGGGATCCCAGCAGCAGCTTTCCACTACAGAAGGAGTTGGTGCTCACGTCCTCTTGGAGGCCCATAGCTCTGTCTTTATAGAAGTACCAGTCAAACTGGTCTGGAGTGACACCAGGATCGCCTACAGTAATACAAAGAAGACATAAGGATCATTAGATGACATAACTTTATTTATTTAAAATGTCTTGTCTACATTAAAAAGAAAGCAAACCAAATTAGACACATAAATGCTTTGAGTTTTTTGATGCAGGCATTTTAAGTATTTTATTTTGATCCTAACTGACAATAAAGAGAAAATTAATAAAAGACGTGATGATCGATCTGTCCAGTTAGGAAGGATAAACTACTGTGAATCCTTTTCAGCTGTTTTGGTGCAAGTGAAAGTGACAACAGGTGCACTGGAGCGGCCACAACATGGTTTTAACAGGTGTTTGCCATGGACCACTGCTTTCTCCTTATCCCTGCTGACTGATTGTTCTCAGTTTGGCTTTTTGCTTGTGTTTTTGTTCCTGCTGGTAACATGAGATGATGCCTCTAGCCCAGGGGTGGGCAATCTCAGTCCACGAGGGCTGGTGTCCCTGCAGGTTTTAGATGTGTTCTCGAACCAAAACAGCTGACTTAAATGGCTAAATAAGCTCCTCAAAATGTCCTGAAGTTCTCCAGAGGCCTGATAACGAACTAATCATGTGATTCAGGTGTGTTGACCCAAGGTGAGATCTAAAACCTGCAGGGACACCGGCCCTCGTGGACTGAGATTGCCCACCCCTGCTCTAGCCCATTCTGTTTGCACAAGTACTGTAGTTCAGCTCCTCCAGGATGGCACATTCATATGTGTCGTTACAAGAAGGCTTGTCGTGTCTCCCAGCAGAGTCTAAAGAGCGTGGACGAGATAACAGATGGGCCGTTACAGGAGAAGAGCCGAATAGGGCCATAGAAGGTCATCAGCCCTGCAGCAGAACGGATATTGACTCCTTTGTGCAGGGAGACGGATGGCTGCAAATGTCCCCACAAAATGACCAAACTGTCAGAAAAAGACTCCATGAGCATAGCTGAGGGTCCTTTAGTGGGACCTTTGCTCATAGCTCTGCACCGTGCAGCTCAACTGGCATTTGCCAGTGATATATCTCCCCATATACCATCGCTGACCCACGGTCAAACCAGTCATGCAGGGTGATTTTGAAGGCAGCATAACATTTGCTACAAACGGTTGTCTTGAGACTCTTTCACATCTGTCACATGTACTCAGTGTGGCCCTGTGCTCATGTGCTCATCTGTGAAAAGAGAGGCCAGTGGCGGTTCTGCCTGTTCTGGCGTCCTCTGGCGAATGCCAATTGAGCTGCGCAGTGTTGAGCTGTGAGCAGGAGTCCCACTAAAGGAAGTTAGGCCCTCATGGCATGCTCATGCAGTCTGCTGCTGACAGCTTGGTCAGAAACATGCACATGAATCGCCCACTCAAGGCCATTTTGTAGACCTCTGGCAGCGCTCCTCATGTTCTTCCTAAAACAAAGGAGCAGATGCTGCTCCTGCTCTGTTGATCCCCTTCTACGTGCTTGTTCACGGTCTTGAGACTGTGCTGGGAAACCTAGCAAACCGTCTTGTGATACGCTGTCCTGGAGGAGTTGGACTACCTGTGCAACCTGAATGGACTGCAGACACTGTAGCCAATCTGCTTTACAAACAGCACAAACCACATTTATGACCAAACAGTTTATTTTATTTAACAGTGTAAAAGACAACAGACATTTAAACACCTGTATCTGTGAAGTCAGTGCAAAAACAACATTTGGAAATTATTTTTTCTTATTTTTTCTCTTTCTTTCTTAGAATTTTCTTACCTTCTGGTGTAGCCAACCAGAGGCTCCTAAACCACTCAGCCAGGTTGGCCATATCCTTCCGCTGTAAGATCAGCGGCTTGAGGGGAGGGGCACAAAGATCTGAAGCAGAGAGCAGAACTGTGCTCCTGGATGACGGCAAAACTGGAACATAATAAAAATAAAACGCAGATATTTATAATGAAAAAATAAGGTTTTTTTAAACCATTCGGGCACGCACCCAAACAGTGATCACACTTTCAGATATTTATCATTTATATTCAAGCCAACTGAGGTTAACAAGGACGACCATTTTAGGGCTGTAAATATTGCAGTATGAATGCTCGTATTGCCAGCCTGACAGACGAAAATGTCAAATGTGACGGATTCATTTCATTAATTCAAGACTGAACTCACAGTGACACACACTGATTCATCCACAACAAACACTAGATTAGGCTTCAGCCGGCTATACTACTATTTAACAACAAAGGAAAAGCTTCAGCACTTTTAAATTCCTCCTCTAATGATTCTGAATCCTTTCAAAACCATTTCTGAGTCTCTTTATCTGTTTGGTAGTTTGTGGGACTGACAGTTTTTTTCCTAGTTGGTCTGACATTGAAAATCATTGTGAAAAACAATTCTGCTCTCAGTTATTTACTTATTCATCCAGGTTTTAAAACGTGCCAGTGCCCCAAGTTCCCGCTTCAATTACTGATACTATAATATTTGTAGAAAAGGACCGTCCACAAACACTGCACTTTATAGTGGTTTATCTGACTGTCTGCAGATGCCTGGAGTATCAGAAACACTGAGAGGCTAGGAGAGATTATGAATGAAATATCAGATGATCACAGAGCTTAATGGTTCTGGGCATGTCACCAGCTTGAAGTCTGACCCAAAATGGAAAGAATTTCAGGGCCTTGAGACTTATAAAAAACAATAAACTGCCTTTTTTTAAATTAGCAAAATACTTAAAGGGGTTTTGATTTCAAAACAAGCCAATAACATTAAATCCTTGTTGATTAGATTTCTTTCTCATGTAAAGTAAAAGCATTTTAATGACTTCAGCTCATCCCGTCTCGTTTTTACTACGAGTGAAGCAGCCAGTGTTTGACACTTTATACTTTTCTTTACACTTTATTAAATGTTATAGTGAAGCTTTCTTTTCAGAGAATTGTGTAAAATGTTCTTTGAAAGATGAAACTGTTGGAAAATGTTTTAATGTAATTTAAAACCCACTTATGCTGTCAGCGTCTTCATAGTCTTCCAGCTCAATCATGGAGGACGGTCCACTCCTGTGGACTTGTGACCTGCCGATAAAAGATGAACGACAGTCAGAAATATACTGAAAATATAATAAAGACAGAGGTTAAGAGTAATTCAGGCTTTTCCTTGCATGTCATGTAGCTGATACCTGCTGTCTCGTGTGGTCTCCTGGTTGTCTGGGCTGTTGTCAGCTGCATGAGTGTTACTGCCTGCTACACAGATTTCCTCAGACGGACGTGATCTGACATTACATCTGTTAGTCTGACGTCTGTCCACAGTCGAAGACTCTATGACTGAAGCAAAAATGTCTCTAAATGTTGCCAGAGAGCGTTTGACAGTCTTAGGAGTGATCGGTGACTTTGCTGTCAAAGGAGGCACTGGAGCTCCTCCTAGAGGTTTTAATGAGACTGCCGTGTTGCCATTTTTGGGAACACCGAGTCTGGGAGATTTGCTCTGTTTAGACTGTTTCTTCCTTTCTTTTTTAGGTTCGGGCCTCTTGGGATGAAGCTGCTGAGGCTTTGAGGACACGTTCTCCAAATCTTCAGCTACGTTGTTGACAAGCCACCAATCGCCCGGGGCTCTCCTTCTCCGTTTGGCTGAATCTGCTTCCGTGAGCCGCTCCTTAGGTCGACTTTGCGACACGGGCGCTTTTGGTGTGGCTGACAGTTTTCCAGTAGAATCGTGCTGATATACTTTCTGAAATATCTTATTTCCTGTAACAAAAAGCACATTTCCTTTCCATTCTTTGCTACTTAATATTTCACACCAACTAGGAGGCAAACAAGGAGCACTCTGAGAGCGCAAACATTTAAGAGAATACTTTAGTTTTACTTTTAAGTTAACAGTTTTATATATCGCACTTTTATTTTGTTTGTGCTTTATGAGTACAATAAAAGCAAGTGCAAAGTACAGCCTTTTTTCATTTGCCCTGGTGAACCTCATTTTAATATACCGGACACAATTTTTTTTTCTTTATGTGTAGCATTCATTTCACTGTTTAGTAAGTTACATTTGTGTTAAGTTTTAAGCAATAAAAAGAAAAGTTTCTGATCCCAAGTTTATCGTGTCTCCTTATTTTGCCAATTCTAGACAAATAAATCATTGAGTTGACCTTGAAGAGCTTGGTGGATCTAAGCCAAATTTTAATGACTTGTTAACACTATCACAGTATTAACTCATAGCCAACAAGATTTACCTATTTTACTTTGGAAGGCTATACTACCTGTCAAGACATCTGTTAAAAGTCGATCCAACACAAAAGGCCAAATTCTCTTTATCTACACATGCATCAGTACTAAGAGTCCAATAGCACAATATATAAAACATCAGTCACAGAAACTCCTCTGTAGTACTGGCACTTTTACCTTGACCTTACCTGAGTTAAGGCTGTGGTCCCTCTGAGTAAAGACCAAAGGGCTAGACTCCTGGTCCAATTCTTGATCCGGGACCTCCTGCTGCTCCGGCTCGTCGGCAAGCTCCGGCTCAGCCGTTACTAAATCTTTATCAATTGCTTTCATCTTGTCTAACTTTTCTCCTTGTTTATTTCCTTTTTCGCTCTGTTTTGTTTTCCTTTTTTTAAACTCACTCGTCTCCTGACTGGGCAACACTTTAAGCCGTTTCTGATTTCTTTTCTTTGAGGCTTTGTCTTTCTTTGCTTTTGCAGGTGAAGGAACTGCTTCGCTGGAGTCTTTAGGTTTCTGTTTGGACTTCTTTTGCGTGGCCTGCTGGCTGTTGTCCGCTTCCTCTGTGCTCTGAGGGCAACTCAACCACCACTCTCCTGTCGATTTCCTTTTCCTTTTCCCGAGAACCTGACAGTCTTCAGATGAAGTCCCTTTAGAAACAACTGACTGGTTGTTTTGTTTCACCTGTCCGTCTGTTTCACAATTCATAGCTTCTTTGTCTAAAGGGATCAAAGGAAAAACATATATAAAGTAAGCAAAGTAATTTTAAGTGAATGAAGGAAAAAATTGTTGCAATTCCAAAAATTAACATGTTTTGATGATAAAGATCAAAACTTTAATCAAACTTCAAAGGTTAAGATCACATAAGATGACAATAGCTAGCACAAATATTCAACAACCAATTATAGAAGAGTTTTTAGGAAGTACAAAGGACTCACCAACAGTAGAAACTATGTCTTCAGTATCTCTGTGCTTGTCACTGGTCTGCTCATCAACATCCTTAACAGTAGGTTCTCCCTGCAGCTCTTTCCTGCTCGCCTTTAACGAGTCAGCCTTCTGTGTCTTGGTATTTTCTTTACCATCTTTTGAAGACTTTTGTTTCTTTGTTTCAGCAGACTTACTTGCTTTCCTTTCTGTTTCTTAGAGGGTTTCGCTTTTTCTGTTTTGCGACTCGTTGTGTCTTCAGGCTGATCTTCTGCTTCATCACTCTCCTTTGACAAAGTTTTCTTGAGCTGCTTCTTCTTTTTACTGGCTCTTCTTGAACCAATAAGTCACCCGCAGGAGCATCTTGAGGAGCAGGAAGCTTATTTTCCTCATTTCTAGGCCCAGTCTCCTCACTGTTCTTCTCTTTCTTCGTTTTCTTCTTAATTTTCTGATCAACAGGCTGATCTTCCAATTTACTTTTTGACTTTTCTTTTTCCTGCTGTGGCTCTGGCATCTCCAGTGATCTATCCTTTGTCCTCTTATCTGAGCTGTCTTTGTCTGTGCTGGGAATTCTGCTGTGACTTTGTTTCTTACTGGCAGCACTTTTACTTGGGATGGAAAACCACAGAGGTGTATCATCTTCTAGGATCATAAAATCATCCTCTGGTTCAGGGGGAGGAGTGGGTACTTTGACTTGTTTCTTCCCAGAACTTAAAAAAAAAGATAAATACATATAATTAATTTTTTTAGGAAAGAATGTGACTGAGGCCACGTGGTATTATGTGATCAGTGTTGGGGAGTAATGGAATACATTTAACAATGTTACATATTTAAAATACAAAATATGAGTAACTGTATTCCGTTACAGTTACTGTTTAAAAAGGTGGTATTCAGAATACAGTTACTTTGTTGAAATAAATGGATTACTTGGCGGTCTTTTCCTGTTTCATATGTTAGGCTATGCCCTCTCTATTTTTGATAATTCCACGCCAGTGGAAATCCAAACAAAACACACATTAAGAGGCTCTGTGTCACCGAGCAGAAACGGGAGCTGGAAGCATGTAAATATAATAATAACCACTGCAGCCAAAAAGAGTGCCTGACGAGCCCAGCTGTGAGTAAGCTATTAAGACTCGACTGTACACCGTGTTCGTGTTTTCCTCTGAAACAATAAGTTCCGTTGGAGCAGGCTTTCAATGCCTCTCTCTGTCTCTCGCTAGCAAAGTTGACCCAGACAACAAAGTAAAGCTAGTTTTCAGTTACGAGCCCGACACAGAACCCGACGTATTAACCAGAGGTCCCTTTACTATGGTTTGGAGCCGCAGACCTGTTTTCTATACGCGTGAAACAGTTTTAATACGAGATCACTGCAAAAAGTGCAGCCTTACCTAATGTCCACCTACTGTTACTTATTTATATTAAGATTTAAAAATCTAGTTGGTATTAGTATGATGAATAACCTTCAGTAAAAGTAACAAATCCCACAGCAATAGTACATTCATGTAGTTGCAAAAAGCATGATAATATATTAAGTATTCCAAAGTATTCAGAATACGTTACTGTCATTGAGAGACATAACAGAAAACGTTACAAAATACATTTTGGGGCATGTAATCTGTAGTGGAATACATTTTAAAAGCAACGTTCCAAGCACTGTATGTCATGCAGACATGTTTACGTAGACAAGTTATAAAGGTGTCCTCTGATCTCAACTCACCTGAAAGGTTTTGACTGTGCTGCATGTTTCAGTTTCTGCAGAAAAGCTGTCATATCTTTTCCCGCTCGTGTGGATGCCACAGGAGCTGCGACTTCAGGCTTCCGGCTCACTGTTTGAACAGCTGGCTGTGTGCTTTCTTGACTCCTGTAAACAAAGAAGACATAAAATGTGACTGAAATAATCAAAACGTTTTCAAGAGCGACCAGAAACACTTCCCTATCTTTTTGAATCGTTGTTCCTGCCTCCACTGATCAAAATGAAGCGTATCACCAACACAGTATGTTTGATGTGCTATATAATCCCGTAGCCTATAAATATTGTTCATCTTTGATTACTGTTGTGCAGTATTGCTGTGTATGTTCGTTTAATGGGGGAATTTTTTTTAAGTAGAAAAGGGCAAATGGCAGATGGCAAAAAACTAAAATATCTTGTACAATTAATGGTCTCATATGGTCACATTTATAGCATCAAAGTCTCTTCCTCCTGAAAAAACACCCAACGAGGTATTTAAATGAAAAGCAACCTTACCCTTGTAATTCAATCTCCTTCTTGTGGCCAGATATCTTTGTTAAATCAATCTTGCTTGGGGGAGACTCCAATCCAGACTCGCCGTTCCTAGAGAACAGGATTAGTGAAAGATTTGTGGAAAATAAAAAAATAAAAACATGAAAAATTGTAGAGGCAACATTTCCTGCTAGGAACTAAGTATGAATTTCCGTACTCCTCTGTGACTTGTCCATTACACTGGGGATTCTGGGTGGGTAGAGAGTCTTTCTTCACCTCTTCTATTCCTTCATATTCACACATAAAAAGAATTGGGGACACAACTTGTGCTTTTTCATCGTCCTGCTTTTCTTCTTCAGCAGCCAAACTTTGTTCTGCTGGACTGGAAGTCTTTACTGGGTGATGTCCTTTAAAGGGGATGTCCAAATCTGCAACAAGAAAAAGCCCAGTCCTAAACAATTCATTTATTTCCCACCTGTGGGACTAATAAAGGTCATCTTACCTTATCTTATCTTAATTAAAAAAAAAAAAAAAAACACAAACAAACAAAGAAACAAACAACAACAAAAAAAAAACACACACACAAGGCATATATTTTCATTATGAACACAAATTTGAGTGTCTTACCGATATCCAGTTCAGTACTTGCAGGATGCAAGACATCTCCATCATCTCCCTGAAGAAATTCAAAATTGTGAATTAAAATAATGAACACAAATTACCAAAAATATTGTCTTGTTCAAAAAAGGACTCACGGCTGAGCCAGTAAACAAGAATTCATTAGAAAGTGTGTTTGTTTTAATAGCTGGACTGCAACAGATGTTTAACACTAGAGCTTAGGACATGCATGCAATATAAGCAGAAGTATCAACTGACTGTACCATTACTAATTGGTGTCCTGGAGGTTTTTTTATCAGCTGTCGCTCTGGGGGGACCGAGTCCTCACTCTTATTCTGGTGTATTTCTGAATCAGAAGTCTGGAGCAGAGGAGAGGGAGGCTGTAGATTTGCATGTGAGGCTGAATCTGGAAAAAACAACAACAACAAAAAAAAAAAACAACAGTCGAGAAGAGGTTAATAAAATGGAAATACCTAATTTATAACAAAGAATTACACCAATCGGATGAATATCACTCACCCATGTCATCAAAGATCTTATCAATATCTTGCAGTGTCAACGTACCTTCCCAGTGCTTAGCTGGGCTGAAAAACAAAGGTAAGAATTAAAGGGTAATTCCAAACTTTTGTAATTTCGGTTCTGTGATATCAAATACAAATAAATCTGCAATAGCATGAATAAATCCAGAAAATGAATTTATGAAGCTCATAGATATTAAAACACACACACACACACACACACACACACACACACACACACACACACACACAAACGTTTAACTAAAATAAAACAGCTACATTTTAGAAACGTGTTTAAACTTACCTTTCATTGTCAGTAATGTAACAGAGCTTCCTCTTGGGTCTCTTCTGTGAAGAGAAACCAGCTTAGAAACCACTCCAGGATTAAATGAATAACTATGTTGACTTAGCAAACACAGCCCCTGTTCTAATAGATACAAAGGGTCTAAAGAGACAACAGATGTAAGGCTAAATGATCAACTCTCTAAAACTTTACAAGAATCATAACATTCATGGATGTAGTCAAGTTCACTTCAGTTTTGTTTATATATACTGTGACTTCCCAATTACAATAACAACAAGTATCTCATAAGAGTCTCTGTCCAGATGGTAAAAATAAATCCTACAATATTAAAGAGAACTTAAACAAACAGAGCAAATGCTTGGTAACTGGCAATCCCACATTTGTTTGACCCTGGTTTAAATGAGAAAGGATTGATCTTTTCAGTTAACCCATTTTTGAGGTTCTGCACATTTCCAAACCATCCCAGCCTTGCCTCTCTAACTCAGTTTCCAAAACACTTAACCTGAGCTGTCCCTCACATGTACTCATTTCTAATCCTGTGCATTTTGGTCTCTCCAGTGAAAATCTTAGCATCTAGGCCTGCCTCCTGTTTTTTTTTTGTTTTGTTTTTAGTGCCACCTTCTCCAAGCCATGCATCATAGCAGGTATTACTACCATCAACATTTTTTCACTGTTGTTGCTATCCTTCTGTCACAAATCACCCCTAACATTTGTCTCCATCCACTCCACCTTGCATGCACACAGGTGCTGCAGAGATTAAAGAATGCAGTCCTAATATTAAGTTTAGAGGACGAGTTAAATGACAAGTCATGTTCAAATGGATACAAAAGGCGATCGGTGTGTGTAAATAAAGACGGTAGTCTGCAGCCAGACTCGGAAGTGTAAAACTTGTCACCGGGAAAATGTCCTGGGCTAGGGTAATGTTTGTAATAAGTTTGTGCAAAAGCACGAATAGAACTTACTAGGACTGGGTACTCCATCTCCATTTGTGTTAGCTGGCTGTCGTTCTTTCAACAGTATGGTTAGCCGACTGTTTCTGACCGCGAGACCAGAGTTAACAGGTAATAATCATTTCGTGTTCGTTTACTCTCTAGTTTGTTAGCCCTCACGTGAACACCTTAAAAAATCATGTAAAAAATAACTATTTAGCCATACAAAGACCAAATATAACGTTTTCTTCTAGCCAATATCCTCCGTTAGCACAACAATGGCGCTGTTTACAGTTTGTACTTCACCCGCGCACTCTAGAAAACTAAAGCGACATTATGCCCCGAGTACTGACTCAAAGGCGGGAGTGTCGCGAAATTGGCACGCTGTAATTCACAGTCCATGTCTTCTATAACATCGCTGTGAGTGTGTTAATTAAGTAATGACTTGAAAATAACTGTCTAATTGGTAGGGCCTACTGATTTTTAACAAAGTTTTGGCTGGCAGCGGACTTGCAGCCTGAAGAACAACGCACAGGGAATCAGTGTTCACTCTTTTCTTCTTCTACATATTAGTTTCCGGCAGATTAAAGTTGGCGCTTTGCCTACTGCCCTCTACAGTTTAAAGTCGGAACCAGCATCCTGCACCATATACTGGATAACAAAATCAAAATCAGAATACAGTACTTTCCTAAGGAAATTATGTGGTTACAGTTGCTCCAAGAAAATAACAGTAAAAGACTGAACTAAATACTATTACAATATTACAATTTATTACTAAGTTTACAAAATATAGGAAATAGCTCTAATAAATAGCTTTCCAATTTCATATGGTAAGTATGACTGTGCAATGACAATAAAGAGCTATCTTATCTTAATATATACAAATACTTATATTTACTTAATTATAAATAGCATATTACAGAGGTGAAATACACATATTGACATATTAGTCTAAAATTTAAAACTTTGTTATTTGTTAGGTTGGTCATTGTAGGTCATTGTAGAGGTTGTGCAAAAGGGTGTAGCTGTTTCACTATTTCACAACAGAACCATGAACATGACTTAACTGACTTAATTTCTAGGCTTAATGGATCAGCCGCAGTCAAACAGCCAAAAGCTGTGCATTAATGGCAAAAAAATATGGCTGTTAGCTGCTGTTTATATTAGCTGTTTCCTCAATGTATTTATCTGGTGAAATACGTTGTATTATTTTGTGATTTGTTAATTAACAAGCTACACAGCTTTGAATGAGGCCTTTAACCCTTTCAAGCATAGTGGTTACTACAGTGGACAGCTATTCAAAGGCTGTTTTCTCGTATTTGTGTCAGTGTTGATGGTGTACTTGCACATAAACTACTACGTTGGACACTCATGTGCCACTCCATACCCTGCCACCCACTTTTCAGGCAGTGTAAGTGCACAAACCATTTCTTATTTAATTAAAATTGAAATTTCTCTAACTGCTTAGAAGTTAAAAAAAAATCTTTTTTTCATACCTAAAGATGAATAAAAATACTGAGGTTGTCATAATTCATGCATGAAAGAGTTAAATGGTTGTTACAATTACCAGCTGTTGCCGTTTACTCCTACAAACTTCTTTTCTTTTGGTAAACTGGGTAAATATCTTCGTTTTCATATATACAGATAAATGTTAAGTAACGGCAAAAATTTGGACGCTATCTTGAGAAAATGGAAATGATCGTCATGTTCAAATGTGTAACATTTCACTGAAAACAAGTGCACACTGATATATGAAACTTAAAGTTTATTTGTACTTTTTAAATATGACATATAACTGATTAAAACATATCAAAATGTTTCTCCTTCATGTATATTAATGTGTTGCATATAAGCTCTATGGTGTATGTCATTTGCTATGAAACCACAGCCTGCACAGAACTCATCCCTAGAGCAGTAACATAACACACCCATATATGATCTGCATGGGATATAAAGAAGTTAAAAATAATTAAGTGCTGTAAAGTATGCACTGTATAGAGTATATGCTCTAAATCAGGGGTGTCAAACATAAGGCCCGTGGGCCAAATTTCAAATGCAGCCCACTGAATGGCTTTGGAAAAGATAAAAGAGGGTGTAAAGTCTGGACTTTTAACTGTATTTTCATAAATTTTACAGCATTTCCTACTGATAAAGGCCTCTCCCATGGCCATACACTAAGGTATTTAAATAATAGATAAACAATTACACGGCATAAAGATAACAGTTTTTTCACTTTCTGCTATAGAAGTTTGTTTTTTTACAATAGGTCCACAGTTTTTGTTAAGTAACAAAAACTTTTTTATGTTTTATAATTGCAGGGCAGTCTGGGCAATCTGCAGCCAGAACCTTTTTGCAAAATTTACACATTTATTTTTACAATTTAAGCCCAAAAGAGTCATGCTGACAGATTTTTTTCATTTGCTTTCAGGAACATTTATTTATCATGTAGAAAAACTGAGATCTACAGCTGATATTTTCCTTCTTTTCTTTTATTAACATATCTCAGGGATTTTGTGTGTATTTACATTTCTTTACACTGATAGAAATGTAAATGATATAGTGATATAGTAAAAGTATGTTCTCTAACGTTACAAGCCTTGTATTTTTTAAATGTAAAAAAAAAAAGGATGCTTAAAATAAAATAAACGAATTTTTAGCTCATATCTTAAATCAGAAATAATATTTTATAAAACCTTGATTTTGGAGTAGCAACATTTATATGGTGTTAACACTGAACAAACAGCTGTGATCATGTATGGTCTATTTCACAATAAATATGTCAATATTAAGAAAACTACATTTGGCTTTGGAGTGTAAGTTTGCACTAATACAAAACAAACATAAATATATATTCAGTCATTTGTTATACATAATAGTCTTATGCTGCTCAGCGAAATATCTTTTTCTGCTTCTTAGCGATCTCCATCGGTTCCATGGCTTCAGGATCGACACCTTCATAGAGTGGCTGTTTGATGTGTCTCCAGACCACCAAACCAACCCGAATCACAAACAGCACACAGGCTGCAGCCAGCAGCACAGCTGAGAGAAGAAAATCAAATCAGTACAGCTTTTGCACGTGACACACGGTGACACAGAGCTCATTTTGTGGGTGTATTTATCTAAAAAGTTTGGTGTGGATGCAGGGATTTATGTGAAGTCTTACCAATGAAGACGCCATTGCGACTGGGTGATTCAGCATCATAGTTTTTGTCAAGGTTTCCAGACAGCGCCCAGATCACAACGGGGTAGGTAATGCAGACGTACCGCACATGCTTGTCGAGGACAAGATTCTCTAAAACAAACCTATGAAACACAAAACGCGTTGCTTTAGCATCTCAATTTTAATATGTTAGATTCTAACATATATTAATATGTTAGAAGCCTAAGAGTTCAGCCAATTCTACTCCAGTCATATGGATAAAGATCATACAAGGTCAAAGGCCATAAGTTTTAGCTTTCATTGGATCATCTCCAAATTTTAAATATACTAATCATTGGGGGAAATAAGCGCGGTCTTTATTTGAACTCTTTCAAACATTATTGTTTTAAACAAACATTATTTGACAAATATTACAAAAAGATTAATATACTACATTAGCTTTCCATACTGATGCATAAAGCATCTGAGTTTTAGTGTAGCCGTTGCCCTTCAAAGGGAATTGGAGGGAACTGAGCTCTCTCAATGCTCTCGTTTGGGTTTTTTGGGGTTTTTAAGAAGCACACTCACCATCCAAGCAACAAAATAGTCAAAAGAGAGTATGAGAGTGTGGCAGCATCGTCTTGGGACATGTCTGTTTCATAAGCCAGTACAATGGTCAGGTTGAGGAGGGTTGCAACAGTTGTCCAAGTCGTGTATATCATGACACCATTCTGGACCTGCAAACAGATTTTTTCATGGAGTCCAAGCAAACATTATATTAATAATGTCTGACCACAACAGGCTAATGTAACTTGATCTACATGCAAGATTAAAAGCTTAGCTTACAGTTAATAATGCACACTTACCAACACCCGGAGGAGCCACAGGTCTGCTTTGTGGTATTTGTTGAGCCAAGCTCCATAAACGTGAATCCCATGGCAGATGAAGCATATCATGGAGTAGTTAGTGCAGATGATGAGGATGAGAAACACCAGTGCAGGAATCATCAGTCTTTTTTAAGGATAGATACAGCAGAAAAACACATTTAATGAATCTGTTGAACAGCTTTCATTTACATCTTTCACAGCCATGCATCACTGCAGGCTTAACTCACACACGACACTCAAAGACTCTTACTCTCTGTCCCAAACCAGCAGCCAACCAATATTGACGCCCATGTTGAGACACCAGCTAATAAAGAATCCATAAGGCAGTACTGCAGGAGTGCAGTAAACATATCCATATCCATTCCTAGAAGATAAAAAGTTGATCAACAAATCTGTGGGAACAGTTTTTCAGTGGGTTTTAAAAATAGACTGAAGAGACCTGGATTATATCTTATATCTGTGCTTTAAAATAACACTGTAGTTTTAAAGAAGAAAATAAAAAGAAGTGGACACAACTTTCTGAAAAGACCCGCAACAATGTAGATGATCATGAAGATCAGCCAGATGTAGATGAGGGTCCAGATGAAAAATGTCCATCCTGAAGGCGTAAGCTGGGTGTCAAACAAAGCTGAGACATTGGCTTGGGTGGTGTGAAAAGGACCTTTGTGGAGAAAAAGGTTCAATTTTAGGGAAAGTTGACTGTTCGCGGTGTGTTTTCACACCCTTCACATCCAGTGTGTGAATGTGTGTGTGAATGGGTGGATGACTGGATGTGTAAAGTGCTTTGGGGTCCTTAGGGACTAGTAAAGCGCTATACAAATACAGGCCATTTACCATCCTCTACACGAATATCAAAGATGCTGAACACAACTGACAAACGGCTAACAAAGTTTCAACTTACTAACTCCAACTACAGCCAGCCCATTAAACACCAAGCTCACTACAAAGGCAGCTAAAGACATGAGTACTGCAGCGATACGTCCTGGGTTGTGTTTTCCCATCACGGTCCTCTTATTCTAAGATGGGAAGAAAAAACATTTTATAAAACAAAAGCAGGAACAGGAAGAAGTGGCAATCGATCACTTTCACACAGTTAACACAGAAGCCACTTAATATATCTTTAGACATTTATCAGAAGCTCTTTTTACAACTTTTATCAAAGTTTGCCACCATAAAAAACAAAACTACACCAAGAAAATTGACTCTTCTTAAGAGAGGGCCAGATAGTAATTTTTAAATTAATTTTTTTAATTCCTGTGTGCATTATCCACACGACATACATGTTTAGTCCGGTCTACTAAAACAGCGTCCACATGATGAGATTAATAAGACTTACCTGGCTTTGCTCCATGTTGTGTAAGCCGTGTGAAGATCAAGAGTAACTGCAGAGGACACGGGACCGACTTTTATATAGAGCGACTAGTTGTGCAAGAAGGTTTATGACTCTTCAAGACATCACGTGCATCTCTTATCCTCTTTACATTTCTGAAACAATCAATCATAAAACGCTGATAAATATATCTACTCATATATTAAATAATTTTGAAAGCACTTATATACAAGTATGTGTTTAATGAATTACAGTTTACAGCATGATTTTATTATGTTATTACTTCCTATTTGTCTCAGCCCTCCTTCATTACAAAAATTACTTTTATACTGTATAACTCGGAGTTTGAAGGTCCTTCATCGGGTGGCGTGGCATGATAGTAATCCCTGGTTATGTATAAGGTCATATCTGATGATGAACACACTCTTGAAAACAGGGTTTGTGGAATATACAGGTAATTGCTTGCATAAGGAAATCAGTGGGTGGAGGTCTGTGGTTTTTTTTAATCAACGCTTTTTATTGATCTGCAAAAACAAAAAAAAGAGCAAAGCCAAGATAAAAAGATAGATTTGATGAAATTGTACAGCTTTTTAAATCTAAGTAAAGAGCATAATCCACATATCTGTGTAAGTAGACAACAACAGATCTTGGAGGCAGCCACACAAATCCACCCAGCAACTAGATATAGATGCAGTCTGCCACCAGCAACTTGTGCTGTTTAGTGGAATTTGTTTAAAAATATACATTAAAAGATTATTAAGGTGTACAACCAACAGAGGCTGGCTCTGAAGACTTAAGACTGACGTGACAAAACCAGCGGACTCAGACTGGAGCAGAAAACACGCATAATCGTAAACTTTGAACACAACTGAGATTTGTTACCTTTGTGCATTTGTTGACTCCGTTCACGTTTTATTCGCTTAAATGGTTTTATTCCCACAGCGCTCTAAATAGTAATGCATTTACTTACAAGTGCAGTGTGCTCTTAGTTTATGCAATAAAGATGATTTTTTTATGAGGCTGATCAACAATCAGCTCGAGAGCTCCATCGTGTGTGTGTGTGTGTGTGTGTGTGCGTGTGTGTGTGTGTTTATTAAACATAACCATATGTGTTAAAATGACATTTTTTAAATCTTATCATCCATCCTTGTCATTATTAATGAATCTGAATTGCTTTGTCTTCTCTCTTATTGAACAGATGTGCTGTCTGTTAAATAACTCAAAAAAGACACCATTAAAGTCAGTGTTAACGTTTATTTTTACAGCTTATGAAAGAAAAGTAAATGAAAGCATAACTACATTTTTCATGTTTATGTGGTGAAATCAGAAATACACACTTTATTGCAGTTTATACTTTTTGACAGGTGTGAACCTTCAGCTTTATATATCACTTTATGAGGCTTGATGATATTCAGCTGAGGCTGGAGTCATTTACAATACAGCCCTGGTATCATACAGAAATCATACTGCAAATCTTTTCCTCGCTCTCTCACTTAAATATCTTTTTCTGCTTCTCTAAAATCTCCATCGGAGACATTTTGTCAGGGTTTACGTCTTCGTAAAGCGGCTTTTTCATTTGCCTCCAAATGACCAAACATATCCGAGTGGCACACAGGGCACAGGCTACACCCAGCAGGGCAGCTATAGTGGAAAGAAAATATCAGAGCGTGGCATCAGTGTGCATCCACATATGAAGTTATCATTTATAGTCAGTGCTATAGTGTCATTGAGACCGGTTGATGGTTTATCCTCACCGATAAAGATGTTGTTGCGGGTAGGAGCTGCGGTGTTGTAGTTTTTGGTGAACACCCCTGTCAGCGCCCAAATCACAGTGGGGTAAATGCTGAAGATGAATCTCACATATTTTTCAAGAATGGAGTTTTCCAGGATGAACCTGTGAGAGAGACGGCACCTTTTATTGATCCATTTTTTCTAAAGAAGTCGCCCTTGTTGTTTCCTCTGTTTGTCAACTTACCACGCTATCAGCACAATGGACAAAACAGAAAGAGCAAGAGTGGCGCCGTCAGCGTGGGACATGCTTGCATCATACGTCAGCACAATGGTCAGGTTAAGCAGGGAGGCAATAGTTGTCCACGTTGCATAGATGGCAATGCCGTTCTGAATCTGCAATGAAGACAAAGCAAAAGACAGAGATGCTGAGATTATAACCATGTACATGAAAAAAAAAGAAACGCAAACATCAGGTGCCATACTAACCAGCAGATGATGGAGCAACAGGTCTGTTCTGTGGTATTTGTTGAGCCAAGCTCCATAGTTATGCAGACCGTGGCAGGAGAAGTATATTACAGCGTAGTTAGTCAAAGCGATTAGGATGAGGAAAGCCAGCGCAGCAGGTGTGTACCTTGAGCAGGGATGAAAAACAGAATTTGACCACAATGAAAACAATTAACCTGCATGTTAGAAGCTGTGTTTACATGCTTCTTGCATGGACATACTTATTTTTCCCATTTATTGCATGATTTCAGGTCAATCTTATCTGCATATTTAGGCCAAGAGGACCTGACAATGTGATTCAACACAGCTTCATTTGGTTACTCAGCTTAGGTGGACTAACCTAACTAATCAGCACTATATCCAGCCCTCATTTATACGCCCCCTTTTCTAATGCAGAAAGGAAAAACATTAATCAATACTATGGCTTTTTAATGATATCATTTAAAACTCTCATCACACTCACTTTCTGTCCCACAGGAGCAACCATCCAATATTGACGCCCAGATTTAAGCAAAAAGTTACAAAAAATCCGTGTGGCAAAACTGCAGGGCTGCAGTAGACATAACCATAGGCATTCCTGCAGAAAGAGGTAAATGTAGACTTCAACAAACATCATATAGGAGAAGAAAAAATTTGTCTCAAGAATAAAAAACTTACTTCCTAAAGATGCCTGCAAAGACATAGAGCACCCCTGAACCCATAAAGATGTAAATGATGGACCAGATGGTAAAAGTCCACCCTGAAGGCGTGATCTGGGTCACAAACTCATCTGAAATGTTTGCGGTGGTGGATAAAAATGGATCTGTGGCGCAGAAACACAGAAATCAGAGAGAGAGACAGAGTGCTCAAAGGTTACAACGTAATTCTAAAAGTATTAAAAGCCAGACTTACGTTTTCCTAACGCTGCCAGAGCAGACAACACAATGGTGACGATGTAGAAAATCACTGCCAGCACTATGGCAATGGCAAGAGTGATGTGGTGTTTTGCCATTTTTAGTAAGCCAGTTTCTATAAAACAGAAGAATTATAATTGAAGACAAATTATAACAAGTTTCTAAATTTCATATTAACAAGTTGCCATCAGTATTACATGTCACTAATCAGAAGAAGCCATGACGTACCGTTTAATGTCTTTTCTTGACTGAAAGCACTGGAAGACTGCTGTGTGGGGTGGGCTTTTCTTTTTTACATAAAACGAAGCTGGTTTTGTAACAGTGGAGCTTTTATAGCCCTGTAGCACGTGTACACGTTTGACATCCTCCACGTGTCCTCTGTTTTCGGCTGATTAACTGAACAAAAAAGGGGTAAAACAATCCTGTTGCCGAACTCACTCAGCTTTATAACCATCTTCCATAACTTTAAACATACATAAGAGCTGGACTTTGCCCCAGCAGTCGTGTTTAGTAACAAGTTTTTATCGCAGACTCGTATCAGCAGCAGGTGAGACCAGGGAATGAAGAGCCAAAGGATTATATCAGCTTTAAGCAACTTAACCCTCACAGTTATGAAATGTTGGGTAGCTGCCAGCTGGAGATCTATGTATCCCAATTCTAAAACTTCTACGGGTAAATGAGAAGAGCCAATGATATGTTTGCTAATGACAGGCAAAATAAATCAGCTAGGATTATATAGAGCTGGAGTGCACATGAAAACAGAAGGTCATGTATGATCACGCACATACACAGAAGGCCACACACACTCCACATCAGAGCAAGACTTTACTAGAAACACATGTAAAATGCTGCACTGAGTTAAAAGTTTATGATCACCTGTTTGGTCAATTTTCGTTTCTTTCAGCTGTTTTGTTTCTTATTTGAATCACGTGATCCAACAAAAGATATCTGTAATATATAAAGTTCCGGTCTTTAGGACATATTTTTATACATCTGTGGAGCATTTAAAGATAGTGGAAGTAGGTTAACTGCACTTTTTTCACACATTTCCATCTGGAAATTAATATCCAACATTGTTTTTTGGAGGATTCTTAAGGGGAAAAAAACAGACGAGACTGAGACTGAGCTTACTAAAAAGCACCACTGAACGACACAGGAAATAATTTCCGTTAGGGATCAATAAAGTATTCTGATTCTGATGATGTTAACATTTCAATAAGTATGTAATGTCGTATTTAAAGGCAGTTTGTTGTGGGGGTGTTACGTCCCTCTGCAGCTTCTAATCGTCTCAGTGTTTTCAGCTGGTGCTAATTGGCCACACCTAGTCAGGTGTGGATAAAAGCATACCTGAGGCAAGCTTTCCGGCAGTGCACTAGTCTTTGCCTTGGTGGCACCAGCCATTTTAGCCAACCTGGTTTTCCATTTTAGGATGAAACCTCTTCTCACCCACACTCTGTTATTCATCTCCTTTTTTTATGTTGCGGCTTTTGAGCCGGGTCGTAACAGGGGGTTTTACAGTTTTTACAAAAAAGCTTGTTTGCATGTTATCGATTCAAAACCTGCGATAATGTTCAGATTTATGTGCTGGATTTGTATTCAGATAAGCTTATATTTAGAAATGTAGGCTTTATAATGCATTTTTAAATGTATGCAAAAGTATTTAAATGTACATTTTTAAGAACTTGTATTAGGAAATTAAATTGTCTTGATATACAACACTGTGCAAGCATCTTGAGTGACTCATTTCTTAATATTTCGCTTCCAAGGAGCCAGATTTTGTTGTATTTTATCAACTTAATATATATTCATATGTCTGCTCTGTCACACATACACTCATTTCTGGTAATCAGATGGCATCTAAAAATCTTGGCTTTATGTCTGAATGAATATTTGGGTCATTCTTCTGTAAAACTCAGGCTGGAGGCTGTAGAGGAGCTTTTCTGTATCATGTTCTAAACAGCACAAGTTTTGATGCATGCAGTGACATTGACACGTAGTGAGCCACACAAATAGCATGTTGAATCTTTCACACACCGTGCAGTGTGTTTGTCGCCTCACCAGACCACAATGATGTGTGCAAAGTTACATTTTATCACACAAACTGTAATTTGCATAAATTCCTATGTGAGGCATTTAGTTCTAATCAGTAAGAGCACTGTCTCTAAGCATGTTTAAGAGGAGTGAGCTACAGCTTTCTCAGCACCACTGAGCAGACTCCCTGCTCCAAGTGGCAAAAATGAAAGTGAAACATTCAAAAGTGTAGATACGCTTCCCTCTTGTCAACTGACAAAATTCATTGTACCAAAAAGATTCCTGATATCCAGGCGTATGAGATGTCATCACTCACTGCACACATCAAGTCGGCTGTGACAGCAATTCATATGTTTTTAAAAAATCCCCATTGTTGTGCACACAGGGTGGGGTGATCTCTGAAGACATGATTCAAATGATTTTCTCCAGCTCTCCTGAGCAGCAGCTAATAGGTACTCAGCGCTTTAGGAAACTACTTTCTAAAGGTAAGTTTTCTTTGGACATTTGCTGCTCTTTCATTCATTTTCAGTCCAGTTCTTGTACCTGAACATTTTCAAAGGACTCTTTTGTTTTTTATTAAGCCACTTAACTCTGACCTATGAATCATTTACGCATGTTTTGAAAGTACGAAACACAAGTGCTGAACCAGTGTTGTGTCCACACATAACAGCAAAACCCTAGAAGAATGACCGCCTATTCTTCAAAGAAAACTCAAGAATGAAGGTGGTCATACTAAATTATAACTTTGACGCTCATTAGAATTGTACAAACTCTGTTTTGACCTTGTATACTGTATTTCCCCAGCCCCTCTATTTTGAAACTAAAACTATTGAACCTTAATTCAATTTCTCACTTCACATAATCGTTTCACTTTTGCCTTGAAGTGTTACTTTTAATTTAATTTAATTATTTTTTATGACGCATGTTCTCTGGTGAGTTCAGGTACATCTGTAACATGTGAGTTAAAATTTTCTATAATACCAAAAAAAAGACAAAATACTGATGTTTTTGTCGAATAATCTGTTTGACATGAGAGATAATATAGCATTTGCATTTTAACTAAAAGACTCGCGCACTGACACTATGGGCACATTTTTAGAAATCTTTTTAATTCCACATATTAAACAACAACAACAATAACAACAACAATAACAACAACAATAAACACTCGAGGACTTTAAAGAGTTAAATTTTTTTCCAAAGCTTGAGAGCGCTCACCCCGGCTCGGGGCTCCACAGATGTGATGGATGAGGGCTCCTTGCTGCAGGCTGCAGCGGAGTGTTTGACAGTCAAACTTGAAACAGTCTTTGGAACTGAAACGGTCTCTGCCAACATGAACACATACCCCAAACAGTTCGGTAAATATGTACAGTTTCTCGCAGCTTCAGTTTTCAGTTGCTGGCAGAACTTGGGACACCCTCAAAGCTGGCGCAGATTTCTCCCGTTGAGCCTGCGCGTACTGGCGAGCGCAGATGTGATGGATGAGGGCTCCTTGCTGCAGACTGCAGCGGAGTGTTTGACAGTCAAACTTGAAACAGTCTTTGGAACTGAAACGGTCTCTGCCAACACGAACACATACCCCAAACAGTTCGGTAAATATGTACAGTTTCTCGCAGCTTCAGTTTTCAGCAGCTACCAGAACTTGACTCCTGTCTGCATCCTCCCAGCCGCCTCCCACTTCATCTGCGGGCAGTACCTGCGTGTGTGAGCGCTGTCACCGGTGGCTTCGCAGATCGGGCAAGTGTAGTTCCGGAGGATGGGGCAGAAAACTTTCCCGTCGTCTGATTTGAGCTTGTGAGATCGGTACACCCTCGGAGTCTCCCCGTTTTGCTTGCAGAAGCGGCAGTAGTCCGAGGATGACGCGCTGCTGCTGGTGTCCGACGCGCTGCTGGTCGGACTGAACTGCGATGAGTTTTTGGAGGATTTCTTCCCCCGAGTGGAAGTGTGGACCTTACTCCAGGGGGGCGCTTGTCCCTTCTTTGGACGCTCGGTGTCTCGGTTATCAACCTCACGGTTGCTGCACAGTTTCTCGAACACTTGGCTCAGATTCATGTAGTCGTGCCACATGTTAAAGCTGTCCCCACCAGTGAGGATCGAGCTCTGGACCTCCAGTCGTCTCGGCATTGTGGTCATTTTTTGGCAGAAGTAAAACTGAGGGTGTGTTTGGAGCGCCTCATATTTATAGCTCACTGAAGATGGTTTTAAAATGCAACAATGTTTGGAGCCTATAGATTGCATGCAGCCTGGCGACGTTTTTTGGAGGCAGAGAGAGAGAAAAAAAGAACTTTGGTGCAGGTGCAGTCTTTTATGTAGCTTTCTGGTGACCTTATAAGAACCTTTGCGAAGCCCGTTGACAGGCCTTTAATCGAATGATCGGTTGGTTGATTGATAACAGAAAAAAATGACACATAAGATGGACATAAAGGACTGAAAACACCAAGAGCAAAATATTGCATCGCACTCATTTATGTAGTTTATGTTTAGATTAGATAATTTTGCAAAATAACGCAGCAAAATAAATAATAAGAGCCGGGATGTGGAGACTATGTAGCACTGAAAAAACTCCGTCCATGTGAACAGAATCAGGGGTTAATAGGTGAACTGTCTTGGTATAGTTGGGTCACGCAGAGTTCATGCATTTTTTTTCTATCGTAGTGCGTTGGCCTTTATCCTCTCATCCCCTCTCTCTCTCTCTCTCTCTCTCTCTCTCTCTCTCTCTCACACACACACACACACACACACACACACACACACACACACACACACACACACACACACACACACACACACAGTGTTTAATAGATAGATAGATAGATAGATAGATAGATAGATAGATAGATAGATAGATAGACTAAATTCAAAGTGAATTATGTGATTTAATCTGTTAAGTTCAAATCTCCATTCTTTCCCTTAGTTTTGCATGTGTTTGCGTTTTTTTTTTCTTTGTCTTTTCTTATTTTGTCACTTGTTTACAGTTTTATTATTATTCGTACTTCTAATGTGCTTGTGTCTGACAATGGGCCGTGTATGTGTGTGCGTGTGTGTCTGAGGATGATGATGGTCCATGTTGTGTTACTTGTTGTTTGTGTGTGTGTCCCCCCGATGACCCCTGGCGCCGGAGCGTCTAGACTACATTAGAGATGTGTCACATCCAAGAGCCGCACCTGCGCTTATAGAGAGCGCATACATAGAGGTGAGGTATGAGGATAAATGGATAGATGCGGTCCTTTTTCGAAGCTGAGCGCACAGTTGTATTTCCTGCACAATCACACACGAAGTGAGGCTGTGTGTATGCCGGTTATACCATGAATATAAACCCTGCAGGCACCGCTTGTTTGTCAAACTGTTTATGAAGCAAAAGTCACATTTCTGTTTATTTACAAAGCAAAAAGAAGGGGGAAAAAGAGGCGTAGGAGGGGGCGGAGCTTAGATACGTGCGGGGGAGTTGTGGGTCATTTGCGTTTAGTTGGACGCGTGCGCACTAGCATACCGGCGACGGCTGTTCAAACGGTGGCCTAGCGAATAAGGGGATTACGGAGCCCAATCTGACAGGTTAGATAACGAAAAACGTTTACATTTTTAGCTGTGTACGTGTGGCAGCGATTCATAATGAAAAGTTAAATGAATTCTTACTGTCTGAGACGGTGGTCTGTCGTTTGCGCTAACGTTAATGTTGGATTTTGGTACTAAGCTAACGTTAGCTACAGCAGTTAGCCGCTGGCTGCCAGCTAGCTTTCGATAGTAGAGGAGGCTAAGAGCGGCGTTGACATTAGCCAGCTGATCAAGTGTACCCTCCCGGGGACTTGTGCTTTTAGGTTTTCCTTGTGCTTGTCCGAGTTGTGAGTTGACAACGGAAATACTGGACCCCGATCAGTAGATGGTAAAATGATGCTTTCTTTCCACGCAGCATCAAGCCACGGGAAGCTAATAGGCTAGCTGCTATCCTTACATGACCCTGTTTGTTGAACATTCTTTTTTGAGAGGAATGATACACACCGGTAGCTATGCCAGCGTTGGCTACGTTAGTTGGTGTCTGTCTTGCTAGTCTTTGCAGTACAGTTGGAGGTGTTTTAATAAAAAAGAAAAAAACAGAGGGTTTGTTTCTCAGTTGGGAACTTTGAAAGATTTGCTCCAAAGCATATCCAAATAATAGACTTCCTACTCTTCTCAGGCTGCACAATGAGTCAGGGTAAGGACAATGCACGCCTCAAAAGCTACAAGAATAAGTCTCTCAACACAGATGAGATGAGAAGGAGGAGGGAAGAGGAAGGCCTGCAGCTCCGTAAACAGAAGAAGGATGAGCAAGTAAGCAATGTGTTATACTGTACAACTAAAACCGTCGTAATGATCCTGAAATTACATGCTGACAGTGTTTGGAGTAAACTTGAGGCCATGCTTTGTTTGTAGCAATTTAGTTTTGGAAGGGAAATGCATATTTGTCCTTCTGTTGCAGCTTTTTAAGAGAAGAAATGTTGCCACTGTGGAGGATGATGGCATCCTGGATGAGGATGGGATGGCTGATAGCGGCTATCTGGAGTCCCAGGCCAACAACATGGACCCACTCATGGTGAGAAGGCATTCATATGTCTGCTCTGTCACACATACACTCATTTCTGGTAATCAGATGGCATCTAAAAATCTTGGCTTTATGTTTAAATTAATATTTGGGTCATTCTTCTGTAAAACTCAGGCTGGAGGCTGTAGAGGAGCTTTTCTGTATCATGTTCTAAACAGCACAAGTTTTGATGCATGCAGTGACATTGACACGTAGTGAGCCACACAAATAGCATGTTGAATCTTTCACACACCGTGCAGTGTGTTTGTCGCCTCACCAGACCACAATGATGTGTGCAAAGTTACGTTTTATCACACAAACTGTAATTTGCATGAATTCCTATGTGAGGCATTTAGTTCTAATCAGTAAGAGCACTGTCTCTAAGCATGTTTAAGAGGAGTGAGCTACAGCTTTCTCAGCACCACTGAGCAGACTCCCTGCTCCAAGTGGCAAAAATAAAAGTGAAACATTCAAAAGTGTAGATACGCTTCCCTCTTGTCAACTGACAAAATTCATTGTACCAAAAAGATTCCTGATATCCAGGCGTATGAGATGTCATCACTCACTGCACATATCAAGTCGGCTGTGACAGCAATTCATGTGTTTTTAAAAAAATCCCCATTGTTGTGCACACAGGGTGGGGTGATCTCTGAAGACATGATTCAAATGATTTTCTCCAGCTCTCCTGAGCAGCAGCTAATAGGTACTCAGCGCTTTAGGAAACTACTTTCTAAAGGTAAGCAGGACCCTAACTTTGCCCATTACAGCCACTCCTGTCTTTGCATTTGTTTCAGTATGTCTTACAAGGGAAGGATAATGACTGGTTGAGGCCCAGTGCAAGGACAAAAGCATTGTTTTGAGCTGCATAATCTGCCACTCTGTCTCACAGTTAACTACTGCCTAAAATTCATAACTACACAATATCAGTGTGGCTGGAGTGAATGTTACATGGGGTGTAATGCTGTTAAGTGTGCCTGTATTAATTGTTTCTACGTCACCTCACCCTCCCTCACACGCAGAACCCAACCCACCTATTGATGAAGTCATTGCCACTCAAGGGGTGGTGGAGCGCTTTGTTGAGTTCCTGAAAAGAAGAGAAAACTGCACATTGCAGGTACGTTTTCCTAGAAAACTAATTTTAGATTATATTTGAAGCTTGTAGATTTTTGTTTTTTTCCCCCCCTCATGTTTGTTTGTAATGTGCTCTCTTCCTGTTTCACCATCGTATCTAAAAAGTTGCATGTGTTGTGAGTTCAGTGCACTAACTTTCTTCATATATTTTGAATATGATTGTAGTTTGAGGCTGCGTGGGTATTGACCAACATTGCTTCAGGTACGTCTCACCAGACACGGGTGGTCATCCAGGCAGGAGCTGTGCCTATATTCATAGAGATGCTCAGCTCGGATTTTGAGGACGTACAGGAACAGGTGAGGAGGCTTCATTTTTACCTTTCCTGGTGTCTACTGACCTCTGGCAGCTTGTTGAGGTCAAATTTAAACTGATTAAAATTGTAGTTTTTCATGTTGTTTTTATTGTTTGACTTGAATAATTCCTTCACCCCTCAGGCGGTGTGGGCCTTGGGAAACATAGCAGGAGACAGCACAGAATGCAGAGACTTTGTCATAGACTGCAACATACTGCCCTCACTGGTGCAGTAAGTATCCCTTCAGTCTTACATTCTCTGCTTTTGAAGTTTCCTCTACGGGGAAACAAAGAGCAACTTTGATTGCGATCGTCAAATTTTCCTCTTGCAGGTTATTGGCCAAACAGAATCGTCTAACAATGATGAGGAACGCAGTGTGGGCGCTCTCAAACCTGTGCAGAGGAAAGAACCCACCTCCAGATTTCACTAAGGTAATTTGCCAAGATAAACACATCACTATGGTAACTGCACACCTCTTAGACTGCTTAAAGGCACATCGTATCTCAGATTTCAAGGTCACAGGCTATATGAAGATACTAATATGCTAAACTGGATAACAGTTACACCTGCTGAATGTGTCCCTTTGTTTCTTGCAGGTGTCTCCGTGTCTCAGCGTGCTGTCTTGGCTGCTGTTTGTAAACGATACGGACATCCTAGCTGACGCATGCTGGGCGCTCTCCTACCTATCAGATGGCCCAAATGACAAAATTCAGGCTGTTATTGACTCGGGAGTCTGTCGCAGGCTCGTTGAACTGCTGATGTGAGAGCCAAAACAAACACACACACAGATATTTTCAGAGGCGTTCTACAAAGTGTATGCGAAACACTTGGGACTCTAGTTAAATACCCATAAAGTGACAAGTAACACATGGGTGCTATAAATTAACAGGACTGAAACATCTGGAAGAATTAGGTTATGTTGTAGAGGAAGGGTGCAAAGGTGCATTTAAGCGGGTCTGACAGCACATGTTGACCTTAGTAAGACTGCATTTTTTTTCCCTTTTAATTTGTCACCTAGTAACAACAAATAGTGGTTTAACATTATTGCTACCATCCTAAAACTGGAGGGTTAACATTTCTAAAACTTGATGAAAAAACTGTATCATCTCACACTAAGACTTTGCTTTTTGTTCCAGACACGTGGATTATAAGGTGGTCTCTCCTGCACTGCGGGCTGTTGGAAACATAGTCACTGGAGATGATTTACAGACACAGGTGGTAGCTGCATCACAACAGACAGATGTGATAAAAGTTTAAGCAGAAGGCAATGGCTCTTTGTGACTCTGTGAACATTTGGTATTTTTCTAGGTGATTCTGAACTGTTCAGCACTGCAGTCTCTACTTCAGCTTCTGAGCAGTCCCAAGGAGTCTATCAAGAAGGAAGCGTGTTGGACAATCTCCAACATCACCGCAGGGAACAGAGCACAAATACAGGTGTGCTGCGCATTCTTACAGACTAAGCTAGAAAAAAAAGCTTCCTTTTTTTTGTTCCCTGAGATTGAAAAGCTAACTATTGGAGCTGCTAACAAATTGTTTCCCACTTCTTGTAGATGGTGATAGATGCAGGTCTGCTGCCTCCGCTCATCAATATCCTGCAAGTAGCAGAGTTTCGCACAAGGAAGGAGGCAGCGTGGGCCATTACCAATGCCACCTCAGGGGGTTCTGCAGAGCAAATCAGGTACAAACTGTGCACAGTATACAGCCAGTGTACCCATAATAGTCACACTTGTCTTGAGTGAAGAAGTCAACTGATGCCACTGATTTTAAATTATACAGACTCTTCTATTATAAACAAACCTACTTCTGTTTTTCATTGTTGTATCATTCAAGACTCGAAACTATTATTTTGTTTTCATACTTTAAAGTGCATAAAATCTAAATATTATATGTAGCAAATGTGACTTCAAACAGGTTTATTTGAATCATTTTTCAAGACAGTGACTTGGAGAGGGATTAGGGAAGTTGCCATTCAGCTTGTAGCCTTGCATGTCTGCATTTCTTTCAGTGCACTGTGTTGTTCACTGATTAATATGTTGCGTCTTAAAAAGGTATTTTTCTTCGATGACTATTAATGTCTACTCTGTGTGTGTGCTGCCATCTGCAGGCACTTAGTGGAACTTGGGTGTATAAAACCTCTGTGTGACTTGCTCACACTCATGGACTCCAAAATAGTTCAGGTGGCTCTAAATGGCCTGGAGAACATCCTGCGACTGGGAGAATTGGAGGCCAAGAGGGGAGGAGGCATCAACCCCTACTGTGCACTCATTGAGGAAGCCTATGGTAAGTAATTAAATCCGGACGAAGGAAATAGGAAAGTAACGGTACTAGTCAGCAACCCTGGTCACTGGCTAATCTTTTATTTTCTGGAGTGTGCCTCCTCTATTTTAGCACTACTCTCCACCTTTTATCTTTACAGGTCTGGACAAACTGGAGTTCCTGCAGAGCCATGAGAACCAGGAAATCTACCAGAAAGCCTTTGACCTGATTGAGCGCTACTTCAACACTGAAGATGAGGATCCATCTTTGGCTCCAGCCGTCGACCTGCAGCAGCAGCAGTTCCTCTTCCAGCAGTGCGAGGCCCCGATGGAGGGCTTCCAGCTATAATGCTAATTCCTCCCTTTTCCCAGAGCTCCACGTTCATCCTCACCTTTGCTCCCGTCTCACTCTATCCCTACAGCCATGATCCAGGGTGACATACCTCGGCCTCCCCCTCCCGTTCCCCTTCTCATTGTCTGAGAGGTTTAATCATCATCATGATTATTAAAAGCATACCATTAAAGGGGCACACTCTGTTCATGCATCCAGCACGGGTGAATTCTGCAGTCTTGTCAGCCAGTTCAAGGTTTCACTCATTCTGTCTTTTGCTGAATTAATTTTTTCCCTCAGCACCTGGACCTCTCCTGTGTGGTTAAGCCCCAACATTTCCAGCTATAAACTTTTCCTATAACTCATCCCCACATTATTGCTTTTTTTATTTTTTATTTTTTGGGGGGGGGAATTCTTCCTCAGCTTATCCCCAATAAAAGAACCTCTTTGTGGTCCTGTAGGATTGGCTTTTGCTAGCTCTTGAGTCAGTGGTAGTATTGGGCTGCACTGCTTGTCTGATTGAAGCATTAATGAGTCTCGAGACAGACAAACATGGACATGATTTCAATTTCTTTCTATCTATATATATATATATATACACACACATACATACAGCCAACCCCCCCCCCCCCCCCCCCCCCCCCATCCACATTGAGAATAATGAACCTAAACACTGGACTGACCATGAGACGTTGACCGCACACTCGACTGTGGTCACTGGACTGAAATGCCCACACTGGGCCACATGGCTAGTTCCAAAATAAAGACTGATCTGACCACTACGAAAGGCACGACTCAAGAGTGAAGGTTGCTCTCCGATCGCAGATGGACAATTTTAGAAATTGCTGAAGGTTGGAGCTCCTCGGTGACAAATCAGGCTGCTTGCATTCCCACCTGGATCTCATATCACGCATTCCTCTTTCCAGTAATGGGACTATTCCACCTGCACAGGCTCCATCCCGAAGAGTTTAGACTGCCTGCTGCCTTCTGGTGTGACGTGAATTAACCCCATGGAATCATGGGAACCTGAGTCTTCCCACGCACTGAGACAACTGGACAGACTTGGACAAGACAAAAAAGACTATTTAACCCTGGTTTCTGTCCAGCAGCAGACCAGTGGGGATTTTTTTTTTTTTTTTTAATTACCATAATTTCATTTCTTTTGCAGCACTTTAGTTCAGGACTGATGCCTGCTCATTGACAATAGACCACCGTTTATACATTAGCTATGTAATTGGTTAATGACACGGCTCTTCCCTCCTAAAAATGCGAGGTGCAAAGAGGTGGTCTTTATCATTGTCCCCCCCACCCTCCTGGTATGACAAGGATTTACACTGTTTTGCCCTTAACCAGAGAGACTCGAGCAGTTTGTGGACTGAAAATGTTAGCACACACTTTCGAGGATCATGGTGCCTCAGCAAAGCTAGAAGAACTTTTATTCTAACAAAGCAACCTCTACCAATCAGACAGCATTTTGAAAATTGGCCGTTTAGCTGTTAGCTGTGTAAAACATAACGTTCAAATACGTGTTCAGGTAGTATTTTTTTTTAATTTGATCATGCCAAATCAGAAACATACAGTATGCCAGCTATTAGGCCCACAGTTGGTCTTATTTTCAATAAAGTGTTTTATTTTGTTTTTTTTAATTTGGGGTTTAGCATCTGCCATGTAGCTGATGGTGCCATAATCCTTATTCTACAGAAATCCTTCCACATAATTTCAAGAAAAATCCAGATTAAAACTTGAAAACCCCGGTGATCACCTTAGTTAGCAAAACTGAATGTTTGTTTACCAAGTCCTCTTTACATTGCTTATTTTTGTCAAAATCTTAGCAAAAGATGACCAGCTCTACGTGTTCATTATTGTTTGTTGTACTGGGTTTGTGCATCTGTCCCCTGTTATGCCATTTGCATAAAAGTCGTTTCATGAACTACAACGTGTAATCGGTTTCATTATAGTCACTGAGTCTTTTTGTTTTTGTTTTTTTCATTAGATTTTTATTAACTTGCTTCCTTCAGTTTAAGGTAGCAACTAATTATTTTCCGTGTCATATCAAAGCATGTTAGAATCATAACTGCTAAAAGATAGCTGAAGCCACCGTGACATCACTCTGATTGCACGGTTAAAGTCAGTAGGAGCCACACAGAATCCATGCATCTGTGGCTGTGAGAGGGCGATGGGTGGAAAGGTAGTGAAGGTGGATTCAACCATTCAAAACAGAAGACAGTGCAGGCGGGGTTGAGTGGGTGGAGATGAGCGTTTGATGAGAGTAAAAAAGAAGATCTACAAGATAATAGTAGACCCTGCTCTTGTGTATGGTTTGAAAATGGTAGTACTGACAATAGACAGAAGACTGAGCTGGAGGTGGTTGAGCTGAGGATGCTAGGACCAGAATAGACAAAATTAAAAATTAGTACATCAGAAGGGTCAAGGGTTTTGGAGGCAAGGCTGAGATGGTTTGGACATGTGCAGAGCAGGGATGGTGAATGGATATGGAGCTGACAGGCAAAAGAGGAAGACCATAGAAAGATTTATGGTTGTAATGAAGGAGGACCAAAAAGGATGCTAATCGATGGGGTGAGATGTAGGCAGATGATCTGCTGTGGTAACCCCTAAAGGATGCAGCTTCGGAAAGCAGCTATTTTGTAAAGCTTTACTTTTATTAATATTTTGGCTGCTTCCATGTGTTTTCAGAGCCAGGAAGGATTACGTTTGGATGCAAGTGGAGTACAAAGTTGTTTAAGGACTTTACACTGGATGGGTGCATCACAGACATTTCCTAATTTGTGCTGAGTGACAGTAGCTTTTGGTTGTAAATCTGTTTTAAATACTCTTAAGGTTGAACGTTCATCCACTAGGAACTGCCTGTATGCTCTCGCCTCATGAATCCAGGTGTTGTTATGCACCAGGGTGAAACCAGGATCCACGGTACCAGTGTAGGCGCTGACAGCATCCTGGAGTTGGACTACCTGTGCAGCCCCTCTAAGGTCCAGGTATCACCTCATGCTAACAGTACTGACAATGAACATTAAAACTCGGGTTTTTACCTTTACTCACAATTATTAAAAAGGGAATGTCCACAATTTAGGGTTTTTGAATGTAGGATATTTTATTAAAGCAATTTAGCAGAAGCAAAGCCAAGCACGACCTATCTTAATGACCTATTCTGAGCTAATGTTGATCTAGTTCTAATCTTTGACCGAGATTGGAGAGAATGACCACACCTTGGCCACTGACGCACTTCTCTTCTGTGTAGTTATGTAACCCAATGGGAGAGAAGCAGAGGCCAAAATCCTGTTGAATTTATGATCTAACACAGGAAAATAAGCAGAGAAACAGTCAAAAATGATCAAAAACAAAACAAAACAAAACAAAAACAAAACACTTAACCTCACTCAGTGCTTAGTCATCCTAGCCGTGTGCCATGTTTACATACCCTGCATGTGTAAGAACCACCACAGCACGCACACACAGCAGTAAAAGATAAAGGCAGGTGGTAGAATAATTTCATTGCTCCAACTTTTGTTAATCAAAGATTTACTATTGGCGAAAGCACATACAGCTAAACTATATTATAGGACTCTGTATCATTTCACCCATGATGATAGATAAGACCTTTTACCACCCAGCCGATATAATGAGAGGTAAGCCAGGAGAGATCAATCAAATCTTTCTCACCAAGCGATACGCTGATTAAAAAGTGGTCCTTTAAGTTTTGAGCAGTATAGTTCGTGACGATATTGCAGGGAAAATATACCATAGTATCCAAATTACCCTCCAAAACTTTAGTAAAGATAGCTGCAAAAAAAAAAAAGAAAAAAAAAGAAAATTAAAAGCGGTATTGGTCACAAATGGTGAATATTTCCTGAAATAAGCCTTCCAAAAGCCTTGGAAGATGCCCACATGTGCCCAAACCAGGGGTCATTAAATTACACTGCACATTTTTATAGAAGCACTGCTTTATTGAACTAGTTTTGGTGCTCACCACATACAAACACAGATAGCACATCATAGTGGCTGTGAAATAAGAAGCCCAGTTAGAGGGGTATCAGGACAGACAGCCCACTGCACAGGTGAACAAGTCACATCCAATCAGCTACTTAATGTTCCACAAAAAGGGGAAAGACAATGTTTTTACAAGGCATAATTGCACATTCCTGCAATAAACCCTCCACTGGTCTGAGACGATGAAATGCCACTACCAAAATAATGGCTTGTGCCATTAATCAAGTGCCACTTTGTAACCCTGTTATTTATATACATTCACTAAGTAGATACATTTTGCATCAGGTACTCAATTATTGCAAAACTATTGTTAAGGCCAATTTCCTTGTTGCAAAAGCACTACTCAGAATTTACTGCTGATTTTTTTTTGGTTGCACTACACCTCCAAAGGTTGGGACTGGAGAAGTTGTGGTATACACAGAAAGTGGGATGCTATTGACTTGGGTTCAAGAATGAGCGTGTCTGAATGAGTCATCTTCCATCACTGAGCCTTGTCAGACAGGGCAATGGCACTTTCGCGTGGTTTCTGGTGTTCTTCTCTCCATCTGGCTTTCTTCTCGATGTTTAGTGCCGTCAGGGTCTCATTCCTGGCAAGAGCCTGCAGAAAAACAGGAGAATACATGTGGCATTATTTAAATGTGAATGAAAATACAGAGGCAATGCATGAATCAAAGCAGTGAGAATTGAATTACTCACTAATTATTAAAATTCTTGCAGGGGACTTAATTGTGATACATTTTCCGCTTCGATATCCTTTTTTTTTTTTTTTTTTTTTTTTTTTTAAAAACATAGGTTGAAATGTCACATTGGGAACTTTGGGACATTTTGTGACCAAACTTTTAATTGCAAGTCATTGCTCTGTTTATTCATAACATGACGTAGATGAGTTTATGTGAACAGGCAGGTTTAAACCTGCTCTTTTACATTACTGGATAGCAGTGATGACATGTCTGTCCTTGTTGACAGTTACTGGCGTTGAAAAGAGAAAAAAAAAAAAGTTTCATGCAAGACTCATTCATTATTCTTACCCTTTTGCCCAGAAACACCATAATCATACAGGCTCCTATCGTGGCAGCCATCATCACGTAGGCAGCCTTTACTCGGATTTTGTTTCTGGCAGCATCAATCATCTCAAACCTGTAGAAGAAGCACATGTACACATGAACACTCATTAGGAAATGTTTTCTTGGCTCAAAAGAAGGCTTGAAACATAAGACTTCAGCATTTAATCTTGTTATTGTTATTGAAGATCAGCGCAGCAGCATGATATTTACGGGGCCTTTTGTTCCAGTTATAGCAGCATTGGTGACTGTCAGCAGATAGTCTCTTGGGTCCTTCACACATTTTGCTTTGTTTTGGATACTGGGGCTTTTGAGTACATGACATAGGAGGGCTTCTGTTTATAAGCTTGCCATGCAGGTTTTTACATCGCAGCAGCAGATCAGATGTGATCTCCACCCCGATGCCAAGATAATCCTCTCCAGTCACCAATAGAAGGCTTGTTTGAACTGCAGCTGTCTGAGGACCAGCTACACGCTGTGCCGCCGCTCATCCTGTTAGTTAGCCCTGTTCTTGTGATGTAACTTA